GGGACTTAGGACAAGGGATGGAAGGACAGGACACAGGGAATGACTTCCCACTGCCAGAGGGCAGGGATAGATGGGATATTGGGAAGGAATTCTTCCCTCTGAGGGCAGGGAGGCCCTGGAACAGATTTTCCAGAGGATGCTCCATCCCTGGGAGTGTCCCAGGCCAGCTTGGAGCACCCTGGGCTGGTGGGAGGTGTCCCTGCCCATGGCAGGGGGTGGAAGTGGATCTTTAAGGTCCTTCCAACCCAAACCATTCCATGATTTTATGAGATCTGGGCCACTGGAGTGGCCCAGCTCCCCCTGGGAAGTGTCCTCACCTGGAGGGAGTTTCTGCTCCCGGTGCTCAGAACCTTCCAGCATTCCCTAAAAACCCTCTGGGAAGGTGCATCCCACGGCACTGCTGGAGGCTGGAGGAGGTGGCAGTGGAACAGCCCCAGCCCTCAGAGTGGCCCCTCTCCCCCAGGTCCATGCTGGAGCAGGCCCAGAACCGGCGGCTCCTCGTGGATTCCGACTCCGACGAGGAGGCGGCGAAGCCGCGCCCGAAACCCGCCGGCACCAACCCCACGGACATCCTGCAGGAGGTGAGGGGGGACAGGGGCCTGCACACAGCCCAGCTGCTCCCCCAGCTTAGCCAGGGCCCTGGAGCCCAGATCCAGCCGGGATCCTCCATCCTGGAGCCCAGATCCAGCCCAGATCCACCATCCTGGAGCCCAAATCCAGTGTCCTGGAGCCCAAATCCAGCCTCAATCCAGTGTCCTGAAGCCCAAATCCAGTTCAAATCCATTGTCCTGAAGCTGTGGGTTCCTGTTGTGTCCCTGCTCTCAGTGCCCATGGAGCCCAAATCCTCTGTCCTGGAGCCCAAATCCAGCCCAAATCCCATGTCCTGGAGCCCCAAATCCAGTTCAAATCCATTGTCCTGGAGCTGCATGTGCCTCTTGTGTCCCTGCTCTGAGTGATATTGCAGCCCAAATCCACTTCCCTGGAGCCCAAATCCCGTGTCCTGGAGCTGTTGTATCCCTGTTCTGAGTGACCCTGGAGCCCAAATCCCATGTCTTGGAGCCCAAATCCCATGTCTTGGAGCCCAAATCCAATGTCCTGGAGCCCAAACCCAGCCCAGATCCATCGTCCTGGAGCTCAAAACCACTTCAAACCCACTGTCCTGGAGTCCAAATCCAGCCCCAGTCCTGTGTCCTAGAACCCAAATCCAGTCCTGTGTCCTGGATTCCAAATGCAGCCCCAGTCCTGTGTCCTGGAGCCCAAATCCAGCCCCAATCCAGTGCCCCTGGAGCCCCAATCCAGCCCCAATCCAGTGCCCCTGGAGCCCGTCACGGATGAGCAGCTCCCAAAGCCGTGTCCCTGTGCACTGGGCTGGAAGGAGCCCGGGGATCCAGGGGGTGATTTTAGGCCGTGGCTGCTGACAAAGGCAGGCAGGGAGAGCTACCCCCCACCCTCCCTTCCCTCCCCTCCCGGCTCAGGCCGTGCCCTGGGGCTGCTCCAGGCGGGATTTCAGCCCTCGGGGGAAGCGACAGCCCCTCCCTGGGATGTGTTTTTGGCAAARGAGGCCGAACAAAAGAGCTTTGAGTGGCCTGGTTGTGAGGG